TTTGTAGAGACAGGGTCATCCCATTGTTGCCCAGACTGGTCTCGAGCTCCTGGGCTCAAGCCATCCTTGAGCCTCAGCTTCCCAAAGTGTTGAGATTACAGGCATGAGTCACTGTGCCCAGCCACATTTTTCTTTCGATGCAAATGTTGCATATAATAAAATGTACAAATCTTTAGTACGTTTTGTGTGTGTATACATACATGAGATCATGCTATATGTATTCCACAGCTTACTGTTTTCTTCTTTTTTTTTTTCTTTTTTTGGAAATGTAGTTTCACTCTTATTACCCAGGCTGGAATGTGCAATGGCACCGTCTTGGCTCACCTCAACCTCTACCTCCTGGGTTCAGCGATTCTCCTGCCTCAGCCTCCCGAGTAGCTGGGATTACAGGCATGCACCACCACGCCCAGCTAATGTTTGTGTGTTTTTAGTAGAGACAGGGTTTCTCCATGTAGGTCAGGTTGGTCTCGAACTCCCGACCTCAGGTGATCCACCCGCCTTGGCCTTCCAAAGTGCTGGAATTATAGGTGTAAGCCCCCGTATCCGACCTAGCCTGCTGTTTTCACTTAGTATGTCTTAGAGTTCATTCTTTGTACTTGTGGATAAACCCTGATCTTTCTGATTCCTACACAGTTTTGCATAATATGCATGATCACGTTTATTTAGCTATTGATATACATTTAGATTTTCATACTTTGCTGCAATAAATATACTTGGCAGATGTGTAGGATAGAGACCTGAAAGCGGAAGTGCTAGTTTTAGTATTCCAAAATCTAGTATGTTTTAGCGTTCATTATTTATATTTGTGGATAAACTTTGATCTGATTCTTACATAGGTTTCCATAATACATGGAATGGGTATGCACATTTAAAATTTTAATAAATACCTACAAGTTGCCAACTAAATAGGCTGTACCAATTAAAGCCTCCTCCATCAGTGTTTCCCTGTATCCTTACCCACACTGCATCATTTTTTTTTTAAATTGCTTTGGAGTAGATTACTTTTTTTTTCCCCCCGAGGCGGAGTTTTGCTCTTGTTGCCCAGGATGGAGTGCAATGGCGTGATCTCGGCTCACTGCAACCTCTGCCTTCCAGGTTCAAGCAATTCTCCTGCCTCAGCCTCTGGAGTAGCTGGGATGACAGGCATGCACCACCACACCCGGCTAATTTTATATTTTTAGTAGAGACGGAGTTTCTCCATGTTGATCAGGCTGGTCTCAAACTCCCGACCTCAGATGATCCATTCACCTCGGCCAACCAAAGTGCTGGGATTGCAGGTGTGAGCCATGGTGCCCAGCCTTTTTTATTTATTTATTTATTTTGAGACTTAGTTCTGCTCTGTTGCCCAGGCTGGAGTGCAATGGCGTCATCTCAGCTCACTGCAACCTCCGCCTCCCAGGTTCAAGTGATTCTCATGTCTCAGCCTCTGAGTAGCTGGGATTACAGGCACCCACCACCACACCCGGCTAATTTTTGTATTTTTAGTAGAGGGAGGGTTTCACCATGTTGGCCAGGATGGTCTTGAACTCCTGACCTCAAGTGATCTGCCCCCCTCGGCCTCCCAAAGTGCTGAGATTACAGGCATGAGCCACCGCGCCCGGCCTACTTTACACATTTTTTATTACTAGTGAGACTATGTATGGTTTCCCCAACTAGTTTTTATACTTTTAGAGGGCAAGGGCTGAAATCATCTATGGACTTCATATCTACTCACTAAGCATTTGCTTTTAATGAATGAATGCTACTGAAGCATTTCTGCTTTATTAGGTTTAGGCTGAAGAAGGATGAGTTAGCTAAGTGTGTGAAAGGTTAAAAACAGCTGAACTTGCTCCCTGCATGTGTACCTTAAATAAGTAAAGGGACTGACTCTTCCTTCATTTCTTCTCTTCTGTGAGAGGTAAGGTAGTGAAGTAGTTAAGAACCAGGCTCTGGAGACAGATTTCCTGGATTTATATCCCAGCTTTGCCTCTTACTAGCTGTGCAACCTTGGACGGTTTACTTAATCTTTGTGTTTCAATTTCCTCATTCATAAATTAGAGAACACCTTGCTTTATAAGGTTGTTGTGAAGGATGATCAGGCCCTGAAACAAGGGGTATGATTAGAGTGGAAGCAATGTATTTGAGAGAGAGAGTTAGGAATAGAACTGTGAGTGGTAATTGTTAAAGAAATAAAGTATGGTTCAGAGAAAGTTCAACCTCTGCAGTGTTGTAGAGGTGGTATGGAAAGCAAACTCTGGAGGTGGATGAAGTTAAGTACCATATGAAATCCCAGTCGCTTTATAAAACAAACGATATTTTAACAGCCAAAAGATAGGATATGCTATCAGAATAGACCATAGTACTGTGATACTTAATCTATGAAAAGCTCACTTCTTCTTTTTCCTTATGGTTCATAAACCAGCATTTGGAAATCACTAATGTAGGCTGATCCCCTCCTTTTGCCCCTGTTTGAAAATAGGGCCAAAATTAGAAAGCTTCATGGTAGATAGAGTTTGGAGTAGAATCCAGTTCTTTTTTGTTTGTTTTTATTTTTTGCCCTCAAACATTCTCCCATCCAATAGAATCCAGTTCTTAAAAGGTACTCTGGTGTTTTTTCTGTAGTCGTGCTGTGCTCTTCACATCTGATTTTGGCTTATTATTTATAAAGTTTTTTTTGTTGTTGTTGTTTTTTGAGACAGAGTCGCTCTGTCGCCCAGCCTGTAGTGTAGTGGTGCAATCTCGCTCACTGCAACCTCCTCCTCCCAGGTTCAAGCGATTCTCCTGCCTCAGCCTCCTGAGTAGCCGGGATTACAGGCACATGCCATCATGCCCGGCTAATTTTGTATTTTTAGTAGAAACAGGGTTTCACCATGTTGGCCTGGCTGGTCTCAAACTCCTGACCTCAGGTGATCCATCCACCACGGCCTCCCGAAGTGCTGAGATTACAGGTGTGAGCCACTGTGACCAGCCTATAAAGTTTTTTTTTTAAACCCAGTGCTGCCCTATCATAACATTTCTATAATTGTTTTTTGTTTTTGTTTTGTTTTGAGACAGATTTGCAGTCTGTTGCCCAGGCTGGAGTGCAGCGGCGGGACCTCCACTCACTGCAGCCTCTGACTCCTGGATTCAAGCGATTCTCGTGCCTTAGCCTCCCAAGTAGCAGGGATTACAGATGTGCGCCATCACGCCTGGCTAATTTTTGTATTTTTACTAGAGACACCATTTCACTGTGTTGGCCAGGCTGGTCCTGAACTCCTGACCTTAGGTGATCTGCCTGCCTCAGCTTCCCAAAGTTCTAGGATTACAGGTGCGAGCCACTGCATCCAGCCTATAAAGTATTGACTTCATTTTTGGTTACAGAGGTTAGTCTCAGATGAGTTAAGCATCAGTTTTCAACCAACAGAACCCAAGACCAAACCACTGAAAGTCATGAACATATATAAGAAATAGCCAAAAAGACATTTTATTCTACCTATGATTAGACTCAGTTCCTCATCCCAAAGCACGTTGAGGTTTAGTGTTCGTAGTTGATTAGTGGCTCTTCAAATATCAAATAGCATGCATAAATCTATATTCTCAACCTCTTAATATGTCTAAAAGCTTTTGGAATACTATGCTAAACATGCTGCTTCGTACTAGAAAAACCTAGGAAAGCATAACTAGCTAAGACATTTTAAATTACTTATCAGCAACTGTCAGAAACGTTCTCAACTCCATTTAACTGAGTTCCACATATTATCACACACAAAGCTGAGAGACTTAGTCTGAAGTTATATAGGCCACAGAGAGTGTATTTGTGGCTCGAGTTTACAGAAAGATAAAAGTGGCCAGCTTGCAAATTAATCAGTTGTGCTGCTGTGTCAGGTTCCCACTTAGGTGTGTGAAATGTGAGAAAAACCTGAGACAGGATTTCATATCTAAGGATTAGAGTGGCGGCCAGATTGAGGACTATCGTGAGGACAAAGAAAAGGTGAAACAGCCATGGAGAGTCCTTGTAAAGACTACTTTCCCTTCAGGGTTTGTGTGCTCCCAGAGGATAAAGAAAAGATCTTGGGTAGACTTAAGAATTAGGTAAAGATTATTATTATTTTTTAACGTACTTTACTTTAGATGAGGGGAGTGGTTTGCCAAATCTCCCACTATTACTGTAATTTTTATCTTCTTTCCATAGCAGTGGTGTCTTATTTAAGATATTTTTGGGGGACTGGAAAAGTGGTGGGGCCTTTTTTCTTTGGATGGCTGATGCATTCTTTCTCACTGATGGTGTGTTACGCTTGTGTTAGTGATACTGATGTGGAAAGACTCCGAAGACCCAAGTAGATTCCTGGGCCAAATGTTCATAGACTTTTTGTGTCCTGCAGGAAGGAAACTGTCTCCCACAGAGGTATTATTAAGCTAAGAGAATCTCTTCTTATAACTGTTAGAACCAGAAGAAAACTTAGGTGTGATCTGTTCCAACTTTCTTATTTTATAGTTGGAGAAACAAATTCATATAGAACGGGGAACTTGTTGAAATTATATAGCATTTTAAATTGGCAAGTCTAGAATCTTTGTCTTCCCATTCCTGGCACAGTGTTCTTTCCATGATACCATTTTAATTGTTGAAACAAATTTTAAATTAGACCACAATTATAGTAGTAGGTTTTGAGAGGATTTAAGAAGTGCTTGAATATTTTTGCAGCGTGTGGATATGTAATTAATATTAGGAGTAATAGCACTGGAGGAGAAAACTAGAGAATAATGGGATAAAAGGTTGTGTTTGTATTTTTAAATTGGAGCCTATTTTTCAACTTCACAGTACCAAATTAATTAAAACTATGTTATTTAAATGTGTTTTTCATTTATAACTTGTTCACTGTGGTTGGGCAGTATGCCCACATACACTTAAACATCACTAAGATGAAACAGATGATCAGTTCTGGGAGTCAGGCTTTTACTAAACTTGGGTGACTGGTCCTAAGTTACGTACATCATACTGGAGTGAGAATTGACTTGCATGCTATTGCTTTTGGTTTCTGCAGGTTTTGTAGTGCATCCCTGAGCATGAGTGCAGAATGAAGCGGCGTTTGGATGACCAGGAGTCACCGGTGTATGCAGCCCAGCAGCGTCGGATCCCTGGCAGCACAGAGGCTTTTCCTCACCAGCACCGGGTGCTTGCCCCTGCCCCTCCTGTGTATGAAGCAGTGTCTGAGACCATGCAGTCAGCCACGGGAATTCAGTACTCTGTAACACCCAGCTACCAGGTAAACTGGAGCGAACCAAGGGACTAGAATGAGGGAGGAGGAATAGTGATTTTAGGCAGTTATAAAACATTTTTTTAATACTGTTAGATATTTAAAAATTGTTGAGAATGTGTAAGGTTAAAAAAAAAAAATGTGTACTCACCATACAAATTTATAAAAAAAAAAGAATGTTGTCATGACCTTTGAAGTTCTCTGCATATCCCACTCTGCTCCCTTCTTTTCCCTCCCTTCAGAGGTAGCCACTAATCTAAACTTTGTATTTATCATTCCCTTGACTTTATTTACTTAAAAAAAAAACTAACATAATTGTTTAGTTTTGATATTTCTGAACTTTTATATAAATGGAAACATTTTCTTCTTTGACTCACTTTTTAAAAAAACTCACATTTTTATAGATCGCTGTAATTCTACCATTTTCACTCTAGTGTAAATTATATGCATATACTTAATTTATTTGTCAATTCTACCGTTGGACTATTGGGCTGTTTCCAGGTTTTTGCTTTTACAAAGGTGCTGCTGTGAACATTCTGATATTCTCTTAGTGCACTCATTGGCAATTCATGACAAAATAAGAAGCTTGTGCCAGAATTTAAATCAACGCACTTATTAAGACAGTTTTGCTATTTATTTTTTAAAAAGACAGCTGAATTAAACATCATTATAGTGAAATATGACTGACTCTTGGACAGTGGGAGTTGAGGCACTGACCGCCCCCCTCCCCCATGCAGTCAAAAATACATGTATAACTTTTTTCTTTTCTTTCTTTTTTTTTTTTTTTTGGAAATAGGGTCTTGCTCTGTGGCTCCTGCTGGAGTGCAGTGGTGTGATCATGACTCACTGCAGCCTCGAACTCCAGGGCTCAAGCAGTCCTCCCATGCCCAACCTCCCTAGTAGCTAGGACTAGGTGCGCACCACAAGCTATCCTCCCGCCTCAGCCTCCCAAAGAGCTGGGATTACAAGTCTGAGCCACTGTGTCCGGCCCATGTATAATTTTTGACTCCCCAAAACTTAAATACAAATAGCCTGTTGTTGTTCAGAAGCTTTACCGATAACATAAATGGTTGATTAACATGTATTTTGTATATTTGTCATATACTGTATTCTTAAAATAATCTAGAAGAAAGAAAATACTAAGAAAATCGTAAGGAAGAGAAAATATATCTACTGTTTATTAAGTGGAAGTGGATCATCATAAAGGTCTTCATCCTTGTCTTCACATTGAGTAGGCTGAGGAGGAGGGAGAAAGAAGATGAAGGGTTAGTCTGGCCATCTCAGGGGTGGCAGAGGTGGGAGAAAATCCACGTGTAAGTGGACTTGTGTTGTTGCTGAGTGCAGTGGCTTGCACCCATAATCCCAACACTTGGGGAAGTTGGAAGCATGAGGATGGCCTGAGCCAAGGAGTTAGAGATCAGCTTGGGCAAGATAGCAAGCCCCATCTCTCCTAAAAATAAACAAAGATTAGCAGGGCGTAATGGTGCACACTTGTGTTCCCAGCTGCTTGGGATGCTGAGGTGGGAGGATCATTTGAGCCTGGGAGGTTGAGGCTCCAGTGAATATGCTACCGCACGCAGCATGAGTGACAGAGTGTGAACTTGTCTCAAAAAGAAAGAATTAATTAATTAATTTAAAAAAATAAATAAAAAATTAGCCAGGCATAGTGATGTGCATCTGTAGTCCTAGCTACCTGGGAGACTGAGGTGAGAGGATTGCTCAAGCCCAGGAAGTCAAGGCTGCAGTGAGCTGTGATCAAGCAACTGTACTTCAGACTGGACAACAGTGCAAGACCCTGTCTCCTTAAAAACAAAACAAAAACTCGTGTTATTCAAGGGTCTGCCATAGCTGATTTACATTGTGGTGCAAACTCCTTACCCTGTTGCAAACCAGTCAGCAGGTTTGAGGACATACAGGAGTTTGTCAAGTACCTGTGAAAGGGATTGCTGTGTCACAGGGTATATGCATCTTTAGCAAGTTCCCCCAAGCATTGTATATTCCTGTTGTTCTATGTCCTGACCAACACTGATCATCTGTTACTCTGTTTTGTAGAAGTGAAGAAATTTGGTTTTTGCCCTTTTTTATTGTGAAAGTAATATATCACTTCAGTTTTTTTTTTATTTTTTCTTTTCTTTTTTTTTTTTTTTTGAGACAGAGTTTTGCTCTTATTGCCTAGGCTGGAGTGCGGTGGTGTGATCTCGGCCCACTGCAGCCTCTGCCTCCTGGGCTCAAGCAATTGTCCTGCCTCAGCCTCCCGAGTAGCTGGGATTACATGCACCTGCTGCCATGCCTGGCTAATTTTTTGTATTTTTACTAGAGATGGGGTTTCCCCATGTGGGCCAGACTGGTCTCGAACTCCTGACCTCAGGTGATCCGCTCCTCTTGACCTTACAAAGTACCGGGATTGCAGGCATGAGCCACCACGCCTAGTCTATTTTATTTATTTTATTTTTTTTGAGACAGAATCTCTGTCTGTTGTCCAGGCTGGAGTGCAATGGTGCAGTCTTGGCTCACTGCAGCCTCTGCCTCCTAGGTTGAAGCAATTCTCTTGCCTCAGCCTCCCGAGCAGCTGGGATTACAGGCGTGCACCACCACACCCAGCTAATTTTTGTATTTTTAGTAGAGATGGGGTTTCGCTATGCTGGCCAGGCTGGTCTCGACCTCCGGTGATCCGCCTGTGTCTGCCTTCCAAAGTGCTGGGATTATAGGCGTGAGCCACTGTACCCGACCTTATTTTATTTTTTTGAGATGGTGTCTCGCTCTGTCGCCCCAGCTGGAGTGCAGTGGCATGATCTTGGCTCACTGCAACCTCTGGCTCTGAGTTTCAAGTGATTCTCGTGCCCCAGCCTCTTGAGTAGCTGGGATTACAGGTGCACACCACCATGCCTGGCTAATTTTTGTATTTTTAGTAGAGACAGGGTTTTGCCATGTTGGCCAGGCTGGTCTTAAACTTCTGGTTTCAAGTGATCTGTCCGCCTTGGCCTCCCCAAGTGCTGGGGTTATAGGCGTGAGCCTCTGTGCCCTGCCACACTTTGATTTTTTTTTTAAAAAAGATACAAAATGACTTTTTTCTGTCATGTGTCAGATTTTCTCCCACTGGTGAATTTCTTGGGTATCCAGTTTTGTATGCATATACAAGCATATGTATATCAATCTATCTAGCTATCTAAATTTACCTTTTTTTTTTTTTTTCTTTGAGAGAGAGTCACACTCTCACCCAGGCTGGAATGCTATGGCATGATCTCAGCTCACTGCACCCTTCATCTCCTGGGCTCAAGCAATCCTCGCACCTCAGTCTCCCAAGTAGTTGGGACTACAGATGCATGCCACCACACCTGGCTAATTTTTGTATTTTTCCTGTAGGGACGGGGTTTTGCCATGTTGCCCAGGCTGGTCTTGAACTCCTGTACTCAAGTGATCTGCCCGCCTCGGCCTCCCAATAAGTGCTGGGATTACAGGCATGAGCCACCTTGCCTGGCCTTTCCATTTTTCTTTTTGTACAATTTGGATCATACCTTACATACTGGTCTGCTGTTTGCTCTTTTCATTTAATATATAGTGGATATCTTTCTACTTTAACATATAACTGGTCTAGAGAGGCCTTCAACCTCATTTGTTAGTGACCTTAAAAATATATGGGTACTGGGGTACCCATAAACTGAGGTAATGTTTTTTAAAAACAGTTTGGCAGTTTGTGTCAGATTGTTTTGTTAGTTTTTGACCTGGCACTTCCATTTCTAGGAATTTAGTATAAAAATACAAAGAAGAGGAAATGCAGCTGAAGTAGGAAATGGTGATTCCTGAGGCATCACTCTTCCTCAGGAGTCCCCTTGAAGCAGTCTGATCCCTTCCTGTGGGGCTGGGGCAGCAGTCAGAAGACTGCCAACAGATGGCATCTTTTAGGACTTGGAAGAAAAGAAAGTTGCTTGTTTACCTTGGGTGATTACTTTCATTATCTAAACAGGTTAATGACTGTTTTCTACATATGGGATAGTTACATTTCTTCTGAATGGAAACTAGAATGTGCTTGTATAAGTCAGTCTAGTAAAAGCCTGTAAACCCTGTAAAAAACATGCATACTGGAATATAGAAGCTCAGAATAATAGCCCATCTTTGAGGTACATTAGAGCTTTTAGAATTGTCTAAATAGTTTCTTTTTACTCTTAATATGCCTTGTATCGTTTCTGTGGATTTATGCATAGTCACTTGGTTTCTCCCTCTCTCTCATTTCTTCATCTACCTCCAGGATAATTTTTATAAATGTGAGGATTTGAAAAAAGTTTTATTCTCTCTTTAAATTGTGGTATAAAACTTAACATTGTTGAGAGAAAGAAAGTTTCATGTTATTTAGTCTCCTTATTTTGGGGACGGGGCATTCAGGCATTTGGACAGATTGTTGTCTTCTGTGGTGATCAACAGTTCTGAAAAAGGAAAAAAGTTCTGAAAATGTTTTATAGCACTTCTTGCAATAGATATAGAAGGAAAGTGGTTTTGGCTTTTATTTCCTCAAACTTAGAAGAGGACAAGAGAAAGATTGAGATAAAAGAATAGAAAAGACATTTGTTTGAGGCCAAACCATCAACAATTTGGGTAAAAAATTTATTTTACATTAGATATAATACTCATAGCAAATCAAGATAAGCAAAATAAGCAAAGTAGGTTGGGCGCGGTAGCTCATACCTGTAAGCCCAGCACTTTGGGAGCCCAAGACAGGTAGATCATTTGAGGTCAGGAGTTCGACACCAGTCTGACCAACATGGTAAAACCCTGTCTCTACTAAAAATACAAAAATTAGCCGGGTGTGGTGGCAGGCACCTGTAATCCCAGCTACTCAGGAGGCTAAGGCAGGAGAATCACTTGAACCTGGGAGACAGAGGTTGCAGTGAGCCGAGATTGTGCTACTGCACTCCAGCCTGGGCGACAGAGCTAGACTGTCTCAAAAACAAAAAAACAAAAAGAAACAAAGTAAGAGTCATCTTTAATTCTGTAACCACAAGATTAAATGCTAACATTTTGCTATATATTAGTTGTCTAAGGTTTAAAATCTTTTTATCATACCGCTTTGTAATGTGCTTTCATTATTTTTTTGAGACAGGGTCTTCCTCTGTCACCCAGTGTAATGTGCGTTAAAAAACTATTTAAAAGGCCGGGCGCGGTAGCTCAAGCCTGTAATCCCAGCACTTTGGGAGGCCGAGTCGGGCGGATCACGAGGTCAGGAGATCGAGACCGTCCTGGCTAACACGGTGAAACCCCGTCTCTACTAAAAAAATACAAAAAACTAGCCGGGCGAGGTGGCGGACGCCTGTAGTCCCAGCTGCTCGGGAGGCTGAGGCAGGAGAATGGCGTAAACCCGGGAGGCGGAGCTTGCAGTGAGCTGAGATCTGGCCACTGCACTCCAGCCTGGGCCACAGAGTGAGACTCCGTCTCAAAAAAAAAAAAAAAAGAACTATTTAAAAGTTTAATTCTATATACAGTACATGAATACATTCAACTTGTGGATTATGAACTTTTTTTCATATTCAAATGCATCTCTATATCACTGTTGAAAGTGTGGCTTACAAATGGCTAATCTGTATCCTTTGTTACGAGTTCGTAATGGCATAAGTATAGAAATTGAGAGTGTTTAGAAACTATTCTAGCAATTGGACATGATCATTTTTTATTTGTAAAATCCAGTAATGAAAGTTACAGTCTGGGCACAGTGACTTATGTCTATAACCCCAGCACTTTGGGAGGCCAAGGCAGGTGGACTCCATACCCAAGAGTTCGAGACCAGCCTGGGCAGCATGGTGAAACCCTGTTTCTACAAAAAGTACGACAGTTAACCAGGCATGGTGGTACATGCCTGTAGTCCCAGCTACTCGGGAAGCTGGGATGGGAGGATCATCTGAGCCTGGGGAGGTCAAGGCTACAGTGAGCCATGATTGTACCACTGCACTCCAGGCTGGGTGAGAGAACGGGACCCTGTCTCAATAAAAAGGCAAGAAAAAAAAATTACGAGTTTATGTTTTTGTTGTTGTTGTTGTTGTTTTGTTTTTTGAGATGGAGTTTCACTCTTGTTGCCCAGGCTGAAGTGTGATGGCGTGATATCGGCTCACTGCAACCTCCACCTCCCTGGTTCAAGCAATTCTTCTGCCTCAGCCTCCTGAGTAGCTGGGATTACAGGCATGCACCACCACGCCCATCTAATTTTGTATTTTCAGTAGAGACAGGGTTTCTCCATGTTGGTCAGGGTGGTCTCAAGAACTCCCAACCTCAGGTGATCCACCTGCCTCGGCCTCCCAAAGTGCTGGGATTACAGGCGTGAATCACCACGCCTGGGGGGTTTGTGTATTTTTTATTTTCACTTTCATAGTAATTTATTTTTACTGGATTTTTATAAAAGTTGTGGTCCCTGATGGATTGGAACTTTAAGAAAAACATTCATCCTTTACCACAGACAGTTTGAGATAAACTATATAATTTTTTTTTTCTTCTTCTTTTTGGAAACAGAGTCTTACTCTGTTTTCTAGGCTGGAATGCAGTGGCGTGATCTCAGCTGACTGCAACCTCCACCTCCCAGGTTCAAGTGATTTCCATGCCTCAGCCTCCCAGTAGCTGAGATTACAGATGTGTGTTACCATATCCAGCTAATTTTTTTGGTATTTTTAGTAGACGGAGTCTTGCCACGTTTGCCAGGCTGGTCTCGAGCTCCTGGACTCGAGTGAACCTTCTGTCTGGGCCTCCCAAAGTGCTGGTTACAGGTGTGAGCCACTGTTCCCAGCTAAACTATGTAATTTTTAATAGCTACAAATAATTTGGTTATAACTTGGGTGGGCTGTAATGTATTTAACCAGTTCCTTTTGTGGAAAATTTGGGTTTCCTTCTTTTTCTTTTCTTTGTTGTTGTTGTTTTTTTTTTTTTTTTTTTTTTTTAGAGACAGGGTCTCATTCTGTCACCCGGGCTAGAGAGCAGTGGTGTGATCACAGCTCACTGCGGCCTTGAACTCCTGGACTCAAGCAATCCTCCTTTAGCCTCTAGAGTAGGTGAGACCACAGGCGCATGTCACTACGCCTGGCCAAGTTTTCATTTTTTGTGGAGATGGTGTCTCACTATGTTGCCCAGGGTTTCTTTTCTCTTTTTAGAGACGTGGTCTCACTCTGTGGCCCAAGCTGGAGTGCAGTGGCATGATCATAGCTCGCTGTAGCCTTGAACTCCTGAGTTCAGGCGATCTTCCCATGTAGGTGAGATAGGTGTGAGCCATCATGCCCAGCAGAAATTTGGGTTTCCAATTAATTATCTTTGTACATTTGTGTTAGTTATTTAGACACATTTGGGGAAGAATATACAAGCCTTGAAGTTTCCTGTCTGTATTCTGTTCACCCCAGGTTTCAGCCATGCCACAGAGCTCCGGCAGTCATGGGCCCGCCATAGCAGCAGTTCATAGCAGCCATCATCACCCAACAGCTGTGCAACCCCATGGAGGCCAGGTGGTCCAGAGTCACGCTCATCCAGCCCCACCAGTTGCACCAGTGCAAGGACAGCAGCAATTTCAGAGGCTGAAGGTGGTATTCAGCTCTTTTTCTTGGGTCAAAAAGTTTATCTTTAGCAGGAAATACTGGCTGCAGCTTGTCGGTTGTGGTGGTACAACTTCTAACCTGAGATACTAGCTGTCGAATCACAAGTTTTACTGTTTTTGTTTTGTAAAATTTGCTTCTGTTTCCTATCTTGGCACCAGTGCCTGATCCAGAGAAGAATATACTCAGATGTTTTTGGACTGTATGAAATGCATGTCACTCAAATGTTACCAGGATTGTGGGGCCATTTTCATACAAAATAAACCTTAAAATTCATTTTTTGACTGCTTCCTTTTGAACTCTCTATTGAGCACATACATGATTGGCTACAGGTTTGTACAGTAAATTGGCCTGGTAATATGTCTTACAGTTGAATCTTTTTAAATTCTTTTGAATTTTTTTTTTTTTAATTTTTAGTTTCAGAGATGGGGATCTCACTGTGTTGCCCAGGCTAGTCTCAAACTACTGGCCTCAAGTGATTCTCCCACCTTGGCCTTCGAAAGTGTTGGGAGTACAAGTGTGAGCCACTATGCCCAGCTCATGCCTGTAATGTTCTTATTACCTTTATCTTTTTATTCCTGTTTATGAATAGCTGAATTGACTCACATCATCAAGTCCATCCTTAGTAAACACATGCTCCTTTTTGGGGGGAATCTTGATAAAGTTTAGGGAAAACTATAACTGAATGAATTATCAGTGTTTTCATATTTTCCGCTGAGTGTGGTAGGTTTTTAGTGCTTTGAAATTCATAGGGCATCCCTGGAGAAGTGAAGCTTGTGTTCCCAGCTAACCTTGTATCTCTGACCACTTGAATATTACTTTTCAAAATATGTGATTGTTGCAGCAAGTGTTCAGGTTTCAATTTTTCTGATTTTACATTTATATAAAATTAAGTTCAGGAAATAATAAATGATGGAACTCTGAAGAGATGTTAACTCTTCATTTGGTTATGGCAGCCTACTTATGTTGCTTGCAGGCAGGAATGAGAAATAAACCCTCTAAGGACACATCCATATGCAGCAAATGGTTCTTTCTTCTGTTTTCCCTGGTACTTACTTTAGTTCTTCATGATCCCTGCCCTCATTGGTGTGGATTCTTGGGAACTTGTTTAATATTGGCCTAAGAATATTAAATGCTACATAAATGTTATAAAGTACAGCAAAGCTAAGTGATTTAGAGTAATTTTGTAAAATTTACTCTCTCTGTTGGCTTACATAATATTGACTAATGCATAGCCTTTTAAAGAGAGTGCAGATTTTTTAGGCCTGAAGCTTCACTCTGAATTCTGTCTTTGGGAAAATGTGTATAAGGAATATTGGTGTTTTCTTTAAAACATTTTCGGTCTCTTGTAGAGTGATGACTGTGTATCAAAATGTATTATTGCTGTGGGCTTAGCACTTTACTAAGTCCTGAGAATATTTTTTTTAAAACTTGGTTGCATGTGATTTAATTCTGTATTAACACTCTATGACAGTAGATATGCTTTAATGTTGCAAAATAGCTTATAAACTTGCTTATTAAACTAACAAAAACATATTTATTTCTATAGCCTTTTTCAATCAGCCCTATCAAAGCACAACACCAGTTTTTACCCACTTCCTCACAGGACTCTTTGGTATAAGTATATGGATTATGTTTTGTTTGCTTTACGGAAACTGGCAAGGAAACAAGGAAGGGTTTTGGATTTGGGGTTGTAGAGTGAGTCATGGATAGAGTTAGGATTTCTTGCTGTGTTCTTTTAGTCACAAGCTCTTGACTATATTCCTACATAAAATAACTTGTTGAATTTCCTTTCTAATGAGGAGAGGTAAAATGCTTCTTGTACCTCCATGTAATTTAACCCAGTATTCCCACATTGCCTGTCATTTTTGGGTCGGTCTTAAAATGCATTACAAGCATTTGAATCAACTTCAATAAGTCATTTATATTCCACAATATTGTAGGCCGGGCATGGTGCCTTACACCTGTAATCCCAGCACTTTGGGAGGCCGAGGTGGGTGAATCACCTGAGGTCAGGAATTCAAGACCAGCCTGACCAATGTGGTGAAACCACGCCTCTACTAAAAATACAAAATGAGCCAGGCATGGTGGCGCATGCCTGTAATCCCAGCTACTCAGGAGGTTGAGGCAGGAGGATTGATTGAAGCCAGGAGGCAGAGGTTGCAGTGAGCCAAGATCATACCACTATACTCGAGTCTGGGCAACAAGAGCGAAACTCCATCTCAAAAAAAAAAAAAAAGAAAGAAAGAAAAACGTTCAGTGAGAATGCTTACACATTATTTCAAGCCTCAACATTGTCTATTTTTTTTTTGTCTTTGGTAGATTGGTGGTGACAAGAAGGGATTTGAGCAATTTGAGGCATGTTTGGTGTTATTTAGTTATTGAATGTCAGCAGCAGTGATATTTGGTACATGTTTAGCAGGTTCTCTTTATAGTTGCTTGTGTTTTTCTCTCCAACAAGATTGTGGACTTCAGGAGATTCAGGGCCTTAATAGTAAATCCCTGTTCAAGTGAGCTATGAAACTTTATCAGCAGAGTCTAAGGGTCTCCCCAAGTGCTTCCTTAAATCTGTAGCTTCTAAATAACTACATCCAATTTTTTTTTTTTTAAGTTGTGCTTCCTAGAACTGTATACATACATTTAAAGAGAGTTTATATAAGAGTTGGACTATGCTTTGGGTGATGAGATAATTTCCTCACTATTCTTAGTTGTAGGTGTCTTATTTATTATGTGAGTGTCATGCACGGTTTTTAAAGCATAGGGTTATTCTAAAATTTCTATTTTACCTTTTTTTTCTTGAGACAGTCTTACTCTGTTGCCCAGGCTGTAGTGCAGTGGCGCCATCTCAACTCACTGTACCCTCCCCCGCCTGGGTTCAAGTGATTCTCATGTCTCAGTCTCCCAAATAGCTGGGATTACAGGCGTGCACCACCACACCTAATATTTGTTTTTTTTTTTTTTTACTAGAGACGCGTCTTGACATGTTAGCCAGGTTGCTCTCAAACTCCTGGCCTCAAGGCATCCACCCTCCTTGGCCTCCCAGAGTGCTAGGATTACAGGTGTGAGCCACCGCACCCGGCCTAGAACTAGTTTTTAAACAGCGGTTTGTTGTGACTTTCAGTACCTTTCTGTTTTAGACATACACCTATCACACATAATTGCTTTCTTTTGGGTTTCTGTACTTTTTTCCTTCTCTGCAGTAGTTACCTTATACCATACCATATCTTACTGATAACTCTTCTTTTGTTGTGTATTGATGCATCCTTTTCTTAAATATCTTCCAAAGTCTTGGTTCCTTTTGCAAACTTATTGCATTTTGTGTTCACTTAACTTGGTCATTAATGAAATATTTTAGTATGGAAAGTTCAGAATATGAATTAAAATAGTCCATTGAATTTCAACAGAAATTGTCATAATATTTGTATAGAAAAACTAACCATCAAACAAGTGGGTATTGAACAAGTATACAATCTGATTTCTAGCAACACTGAAACACTGATTAACCCATGGCCATAATGGAACTCTGAAGAACTCTTAAAGAGCCATTTGTCTTGGGGTCAGGCGTGGTGGCTCATGCCTGTAATCCTAGCACTTTAAGAGGCCAAGGCGGGTGGATCACGAGGTCAGGAGATTGAGATCATCCTGGCTACCACAGTGAAACCCATCTCTACTGAAAATACAAAAAAAGTTAGCCAGGCATGGTGGTAGGCGCCTGTAGTCCCAGCTACTTGGGAGCCTGAGGCAGGAGAGTGGTATGAAGTTTGCAGTGAGCTGAGAAAGTGCCACTGCACTCCAGCCTGGGCAACAGAGCAAGACTCCGTCTCAAAAAGAAAAAAAAAAAAGCTACTATTTGTCTCAATCCATTAGTGCTGCTATAACAAAATACCTGAGACTAGATAATCTATTTCTAAATAACAGAATTTTATTTCTCACAGTTCTGGAGAAGTTCTGAGGGCTGGGAAATCTAAAATCAAGGTGCTGGCCGGGCACGGTGGCTCACACCTGTAATCCCAGCACTTTGGGAGGCTGAAGTGGGCAGATCATTTGAGGTCAGCAGTTCAAGACCAACCTGGCCAACATGGTAAAACCCTGTCTCTACTGAAAATACAAAAAAATAAGGTGGGCATGGTGGCAGATACCTGTAATCCCAGCTACTCCTGGAGGCTGAGGCACGAGAAGCGCTTGAACCCAGGAGGCGGAGGTTGCAGTGAGCTGAGATTATACCACTGCACTCCAGCCTGGGTGACAGAGTGAGACCATGTCTCAAAATAAATAAATAGGCCAGACGTGGTGGCTCACGCCTGTTGTAATCCCAGCACTTTGGGAGGCCGAGGTGGGCAGATCACGAGGTCAGGAGATTGAGACCAGCCTGGCCAACATGGTGAAACCCCGTCTCTACTAAAAATACGAAAATTAGCCAGGTGTGGTGGCGGGCGCCTGTAATTCCAGCTACTCAGGAGGCTGAGGCAGGACAATTGCTTGAACCCGGGAGGCAGAGGTTGCATTGAGCTGAGATCGCGCCTTTGCACTCCGACCTGGGTGACAAGAGCAAGACTTCATCTCAAAAAATAAAATAAATAATGAAATAAAATAATAAAATAAAATCAAGGTGCCGGTTTGGTGTCTGGTGAGGGCCTGAACTCTGTTTCCAAGATGGTGCCTGAAAGCTGTGTCCTAACACTGTGGAAGGGAGAAGGGCCAAAGGGACCAACACTGGTTCACTCCAGCCCTTTTATAAGGTCCCTAATCCCATTCATGAGGGCTCCACAATCACTTTCTGAAGGCCTCACTTCTTAATATCATCATATTGGTGATTAAGTTTCCATGTAAGAATTTTGCAGGACACATTCAGACCATAGCACCAATTACTGATTGATTTGAATGTAAGTGTTCCATTTTGCAACAAATCAAAAGACTATCTATGCCTAGCCAGGTGTGGTGGCTCACGCGTGTAATCCTAGCACATTGGGAGGCCGAGGTGGGCGGATCAGTTGAGGTCAGGAGTTCAAGACCAGCCTGGCCAACATGGTGAAATCCCATCTCTACTAAAAATACAAAAAAAAATTAGTTGGATGTGGTGATGAGCCTGGAATCCCAGCTACTCAGGAGCCTGAGACAGGAGAATCACTTGAACCTAGGAGGCAGAAGTTGCAGTGATCCGAGATTGCACCATTACACTCCAGCCTGGGAGACAAAGCGAGACTCCCATCTCAAAAAAAAAGAAAAAGACTGGCTTAAATCACATCAAATGTTTATTCCTGAAATTTCTTAAACCTGATATTTTGTATAATTTTAAATATTTAGGCTTCAATTAAACCACCAAAAAAACTTACTCATCTCAGAGTAAATAGGAAACACCTAGTGGGGATTTCTTTTGGGTGTCTCTGTCCTAAATCAGACTCATAGCTTAACCTTTCCAACCTGTTCTTCTTTGTGATAGGTCACTTTTTTTTCTCCCCAGGCCAAACTGTATCCGGCTTTAAAGATACTTTCCATAAACAGTCATGGTATTTCAGGCAGGACATGGACAATCCTTAACAATGAACTACCAAAAAAAAAAACGAAAAGCCACTATAAAACCCAGTGAATTCTTCATGTGATGCTCTGAACAGGGCAAGTTTAGAGTGAAGGTTGACATTTCACATTTAGCGTGTTGTTTAACAACTTTTCACAAGTCGACCCTGACTTTCAGGAAGTGAAATGAAAATGGCAGTACTTATCTGAAGATCCACAGTCTAGAAAAGGAACCACTGCTCTTTTGAGGGCTGCCATTTCAGTGGCATCACTGGAAAGTTTGACTGCCTGACACACACTGGTAACCAATTACTGGGGGTTAGGTCCCAACAGGTGTCTGGGTATAAGGGAGTTAAGTCTGTGAAGGTGGGAAGGGAGAACAGGATGTAAAAATGAATTTGTTTTTCCATCGCACAAGGTGTTTGGGCCAAGGTGGCCGTGTGTGTCAAAAGTCAGGGAATCTAGGCTGGGTATGGTGGCTCATGCCTGTAATCCCAGGACTTTGGGAGGCCGAGACTGGCGGATCACTTGTGGTCAGGAGTTCGAGACCAGCCTGGCCAATGTGGTGAAATCCCGTCTGTACTAAAAATAAAAAAATTAGCCAGGCATGGTGGAGGGCGCCTGTAACCGCAGCTACTCAGGAGGCCGAGGCAAGAGAATCACTTGAACCTGGGAGGCAGAGGTTACAGTGATCCGAGATTGCACCACTGCACTCCAGCCTGGGCAACAATAGCAAAACTCCATCTCTACATAAATACATAAATAAAGTCAGGGAATTTCTTCTCCTATAAGCCAAGAGGAAGTCTCTCAAAACTAGAAGGGAAAGGTGTTTTCCCCACATCAGTCCAGCTTCAAAGACATTCTACTGACCTGTGATTCTTCCCTCCAAAACAACAATGAAGTGTTCTGTGTGCTAACAACACAGCTTTAGAAAAAGCAAAACAAAATTCTGCATTTTTAAAAATCTTGATTTAAACAATGGTATTTCAAAATTTACAAACTTCATAACTTTATAGTTCAAATTTTATGGTTACTAGAAGTACACAGTTACCAAAAATGCACACATTTCACTTGGCATCTCCAGTACCTTCAGCTTTCTGTGCCTGGTCTGTTTTGGCATCTCCATTTTCTGCAAGGTTAATCCCTTCCCTGCCAGTGTCAGCATTTTCCTTTTTCCCTTTGGGTACCTCCTCGCTCTCCTTTGCAGGGAACTTTTTTTTTTTTTTTTTTTGAGACCGAATTTCGCTCTTGCCCAGGCTGATGTGCAATGGCATGATCTCGACTCACCACAACCTCCACCTCCTGGGTTCAAGTGATTCCCTTGCCTCAGCGTCCCAAGTAGTTGGCATTACAGATATGCACCACCATGCCTGGCTAATTTTTGTATTTTTAGTAGAGATGGGTTTCTCCATGTTGGTCAGGCTGGTCTTGAACTCCTGACCTCAGATGAGCCTCCCACCTCTGCCTCCCAAAGTGCTGGGATTACAGGTGTGAGCCACCGCGCCCGGCCTGCAGGGGCCTCTTTAGTGTTGGGCTCTGGCTTTGGAGGAGCAGGTTTAACAGACAACGTTGCAGATCTTCTCTGGGTCGTTGTTCACCTTGGCTGTATCTCCTTTGGCATCCCCTTCAGGCTTTCTCTTGGGTGTGGTGGTGATGCGGAAGGATGTAAGTGCTGGGTGCAGGATGCAGTGGCATGTGAGCTTTGATCTGTCCGATAGTCACTCTGGCCTCTTCTTCCTCACAGTGCTCTGTGGTGGATCACTTTTGAATGCTGGCTCTCTCTTAGCTCCCCTATTCAGTCAGTTACCCAATCCTGTCACTTCTGCTACCCAACAAACTGTTTTATCTATGCAGTTGTCTCTCTTGTTCTGGGCCAGTACTATAATTCAAGCCACTGTTTTCACATGAGTTGTTCAGTTATTCTTGTAGCATAACTGGTCTTCCTACCTCCTTTCAGTCTTTTCTGCTCTTGTGCCAATTTTTTCTCAACACTGCAGTCGAATTGCGTACATGAAAATGCAGATGATAAAAATCTAAATTGCTTTTTCACAAGATTTACAAGTCCTTTCAGAATCTAGATCCTGCTTTTTTTTCTGTCTCATCTTGTTACTTTTCCTTCCAGTGCTCCTCTTCACTACAGATCCTCCAGCCAAACTAAACTTTTCAGATTTCTAAATATCCCATATCGTATCCTGTCTAGGATTTTGCCCATGCTGCTGCCTTTGATTTTTTTCACTGGTCTTTACTTTTGCTAGCTTATACTCATCTTTAGGTCTCAGTTTATATATTACCTCCTAGGGAAGCCTCGCTTTTTTTGGTGGGAAAGACGTGTCCTTCCCATGTCATCTCCAGGCATTGAGTGTTACTGGGTTACCCGCTGTGTTATGATTCCTGACTACATACATACAAACATCTGTAGACGAGGGGCTACAAATTATTTGTCATTGAATCCTTGGTACTCACATTGGGCCTGGCATGTTGCAGTTTAGTAGATACTTGTGAAATGAATTAATGAATAAATGACATATCATTGTAATTTTTCTTTACTGATCATTCTGTTCAAAATTATCCAAGGCAAGGCTACAGATTTTATGAGTTGATTATTATTTTAAGCTTGAGTTTATTACTGACATCTATACTAACTTTTAAGTATATATTTAATATATTTTTATTTACTGTGTTAAGCATACTTAGGCATAAATAATTTTTTTTTTTGTAATTGTGAGTTTACTTTCTTTTTATAACCTTGATATTTATCCCTGCCTCAGGTGGAGGATGCGCTGTCTTATCTTGACCAGGTGAAGCTGCAATTTGGTAGTCAGCCTCAGGTCTACAATGATTTCCTTGACATCATGAAGGAATTTAAATCTCAGAGGTAAAAGATGTGTGATTGTACTCAAGCTTTGTATCTGGCATATTGATTTTGGAAAGGAGAAGATAGTTTTTTTACTGGAAGATAAAGGATGCTCCTTTCTGCGGCTGAATTTTCAAAATCATGCCTTTATTTTATGCATTCCTTTATTGATGGAAATTATGGCCACTAGACTGTTTTATCCTTATTGGTAAATTTTTGTTAACTAAAGTTTTTCAGTGCTTTATCTCAATCAGGGAAGTAGCACTGGTAGTGATTTAGGCTACTTGGTTTCTGAATTGATTTAGATACCCTTATATTCTGGCATGGTTCACTGTTGTAAACTGTTGTACTCATGGTTCACTGTTGTAACTCATCTGAACAATGTAGATTTGTGCTGAAATGATATATACTGATATATCAAAGAGTGGATCTTGTTTGGGATATGTCGCTTTCTATGTATTGTCTGAGTATCTGCTTGGTAGGATTATTACCATGAACATATATTCTGTTCAGAATTTTGACCACTACAAAAATTAGCCGGGCATGGTAATGGGTGCCTGTAATCCCAGCTACATGGGAGGCTGAGGCAGGAGAATTGCTTGAACCTGGGAGGCGGAGGCCGTAGTGTGCCAAGATTACGCTACTGCATTCCAGTCTGGGCAACAGAATGAGATTCTGTTTCAAAAAAAAAAAAAAATTGTGGCCGAGTATCTTTGAGTCTCAGAGTTCTTTGTGTGTTAATTTTAAAATGCGTAGATTATCTGTTTTCCTGTTTAGAGAAAACCTAGTAGAAAGTGAAATTTTGGCTGAGTGAGGTGGCTCATGCCTGTAATCCCAGCACTTTGGGAGGCTGAGGTGGGCGGATCACCTGAGGTCAGGAGTTCGAGACCAGCCTGGCCAACATGGTGAAACCCCATCTCTACTAAAAATACAAAAAATCAGCCGAGTGTGGTGGCGCACGCCTGTAATCTCAGCTACTTGGGAGGGTGAGGCAGGAGAACCACTTGAACTTGGGAGGCGGAAGTTGCAGTGAGCCAGGATCCCAAGATTGCACCACTACACTCCAGTCTGGGTGACAGAGTGAGACTCCATCTCAAAAGAAAAAAGAAACATGAAATTTTTTATGACCAGGGTGTTTGTCAAGCTTACAGTTCATCACTTTTCTTTTTTTTTTTTTTATCAGCATCGACACCCCAGGAGTGATTAGTCGTGTGTCCCAGCTATTCAAAGGCCACCCCGATCTGATAATGGGATTCAACACCTTCTTGCCCCCTGGCTACAAAATTGAGGTGCAGACCAATGACATGGTGAATGTGACAACTCCTGGCCAGGTTCATCAGATTCCCACCCATGGCATCCAGCCCCAGCCTCAACCACCACCCCAACATCCTTCCCAGCCTTCAACCCAGTCGGCCCCAGCTCCTGCCCAGCCAGCTCCTCAGCCCCCACCTGCCAAAGTCAGCAAGGTGAGCACTTGGAAAATATTGCATCAATGTGAATGCATCCCTAGAAAGTACCTTCCTTTGACATTTCCCCTTTATATAAGACTTAGATACTGAGACACAAGGTTACAAAGATTTCATCAGAGAAAAATGCAGTAGTCACTTCACTATAACATGGTTCACATTTACACACCACTTAGATATCTATTTAAATCAACACAGCAACAACTTTCAAGGTCTTTCTCTTTACAGTTTCTGCTTATAAAACCATGAACATCCCAACAGGTGGTGACTTTGTGTAGTAGTAGTTGATAGCACAGACAGAAACCATCCTCTTATGGTCAGATTGTGCTACTGCCCACATGGTTATTTTATGAAAGTTATTTCACTTACCAGATTATATCAAGCTAAGTAGAAGATCTAATGAACAGTGATGGTGATGATGATGAAGATGGGGTGTTCTTGGTCTAGAACCACACTGTCTGACACAGTAGCCACTAGCCACATAGCACTATTTAAATTTAAAATCAGTTTTTCATTTGCACTAGCTTTCAAGAGCTCAGTAACCACATGTGGCTAGTGGCTGTATATTTAAGACAGTGCAAATAAAGGACATTTCCATCATCTCAGTTCTATAGGACAGAGTTGGCATAGAAGACTGTGGAGCTGCTGCAACAATTGAGGTGTTGTCTTTTTGCTGACATCAAAAGGCTGTGTAGAATGAGATTTTTTCTGTGTGTACTTGTTGAGCTACTAAGCTAAAACATTGCATATGAAAAATTCTTCACTGTAATTGGAGATGGCTCCAGTTTTAAGATTTTATTTAGAAAATGTGAGACTGAGATATTTGTATCAGCATGTTTGAAACTCTCTACAACTCCCACTGTTGCCCAGTTTGATTTGTGTTGGACTAAAATGGCCTGGCCTGAGTGAGTAAATAAAGGATATACGTTGACACTTTGTTTCTCTTCAGTTTGAACTTTCCTTCTATCAACTCATCTATGCATCTGAGGAGAATAAAGACTTTTTTTCTTTTTAGCCCTCCCAACTACAAGCACATACTCCTGCCAGTCAGCAGACTCCCCCACTTCCACCGTATGCATCCCCACGTTCTCCGCCGGTCCAGCCTCACACACCAGTGACAATCTCATTGGGAACGGCCCCATCCTTGCAGAACAATCAACCTGTGGAGTTTAATCATGCCATCAACTATGTTAATAAGATCAAGAACAGATTCCAGGGCCAACCAGACATCTACAAAGCATTCCTGGAGATTTTGCACACATATCAGGTAAGAAGAGTGTCCATTCAGCTTGTCTTAATCAGGCCATCTAGTCAAAGAACAACTTAAGTAACCATTATTGTGTCCATTAATTCGTACTGGAAATTAGCCAGTTAGAAACTACCATGCGTGTTTATAAAGCCAGTGTTTTTGTTTGTTTTTTGAGAGGGAGTCTTGCACTGTCACCCAGGCTGGAGTGCAGTGGTGCGATCTCGGCTCACTGCAACCTCCGCCTCCAGGTTCAAGTGATTCTCCTGCCTTAGTCTCCCTAGTAACTGGGATTACAGGCACCTGCCACCATGCCCAGCTAATTTTTTGTATTGTTAGTAGAGATGGGATTTCACTATGTTGGCTAGGCTGGTCTCGAACTCCTGACCTTGTGATCCGCCTGCCTCGGCCTCCTAAAGTGCTGGGATTGCAGGTGTGAGCCACCACACCCATGCTATAAAGCCAGTTTTATTTGCCTGACTTGATTGCCCTGCAACATTCAGTTAGGATTTTTTTTTAAGACAGAGTTTTGCTCTTTTTGCCTAGGCTGGAGTGCAATGGTGCAATGTCGGCTCACTGCAGCCTCCACCTCCTGGGTTCAAGTGATTTGTTGTATTTTTAGTAGAGATGGGGTTTCAATATATTGGCCAGGCTGGTCTCAAACTCCTGACCTCAGGTGATCTGCCCGCCATGGCCTCCCAAAGTGCTGGGATTATAGGTGTGAGCCACTGCGCCTGGCCTCAGTCAGGATTTTTAGTCACTCTCCCATGAAATGAAGCTCTGTTTTATCTGGGACAGTTAGATGGTGACTTATTTAGTCTAGTTAATCTACAGTAGGAGGAGGAGAAATTTCTAAGGTTTTATCAGTTGGTAGTGGTCCCCTGGGCATTAATATTTATTGCCCTAGGCCGGGCATGGTGTCTCACACCTGTAATCCCAGCACTTTGGGAGGCCGAGATGAGTGCACTCCAGCCTGAGCAGCAAGAGTGAAACTCCATCTCAAAAAAATTTACTACCCTAGTTTTGAAAGGAATTGTCATCCACCATCTTGCACTTTTTTCTCAACTTGAAATTTTCGTTTGTGGTCAGAACAGGTGCTGAGAACATAGACTTTCTTCTTACATGCAGCCTAAATAGATAACAGTGATTCCAGAAAGTGTGCAAAGATGAGCGACTCAAAACAGTAGCCCTTTAATGTGATCTCTTCATTTGCAATTCCTCAGAAAGAGCAGAGAAATGCCAAGGAAGCTGGAGGAAACTACACTCCAGCGTTGACAGAGCAGGAGGTGTATGCCCAGGTTGCTCGTCTCTTTAAAAACCAGGAAGATTTGTTGTCAGAGTTTGGACAATTCCTACCAGATGCCAACAGCTCCGTGGTATGTTTTTTTTTGTAAGAATTACACTATTTATTATTATTATCTTAGAGAAGTTGGAAAACTGTGCTCAGAAGGGGACTTTTCCTAGATGATATTTGTTTGCTTTGATAAGAGCATTAATCTCTTTCATGTGTCTTAATCAGCTTTTAAGCAAAACAACTGCTGAGAAGGTTGATTCTGTGAGAAATGATCATGGAGGCACTGTCAAGAAGCCCCAACTGAACAACAAGCCGCAGAGACCCAGCCAGAATGGCTGCCAGATCCGCAGACACCCTACAGGAACCACGCCTCCAGTGAAGGTGAGAATGGGCAGCAGCTGCTCATTTTGACACTCACAAGCAATTCTGAGGGAGAGGTACGCTAGGGTTGGTCACGTGTTCTTAAGTGCGTTAACAGTTGGGTCCTTGATATTTGGAGCAAGTTAGTATGTGTCACAGAAACTCAGTGCAAAGTTTATCTGGCTTTACAAAAGAGTATTAGAATAACATTGATTGCTTGGATTACTGTACTTTTTTGAATTCTTTATTATCTTCTTTGCAATGAGCTGCCATTTCTTTAATGTTTTGGTTGCTACTAAGAATTTCCAATACTTAAAATTTTTTTTACTTATTTTTTTTTTGAGACAGAGTCTCGCTCTGTCACCCAGACTGGAGTGCAGTGGCATGATCTCGGCTCACTGCAACCTCGGTTCAAGCTGTTCTCCTGCCTCAGCCTCCTGAGTAACTGGGACTACAGGCGTGTGCCACCACACCCAGCTAATTTTTGCATTTTTAGTAGAGATGAAGTTTCGCCATGTTGGCCAGGCTGGTCTTGAACTCCTGAGGTCAGGAGTTCCACCCGCCTTGGCCTCCCAAAGTGCTGGAATTACAGGCATGAGCCACCGTGCCTGGCCCCTTCTTATTTGATGCTTTAAATCTGCCTTGTGTTAAGAAAGAACATTCTTGAGTTTGAGAATTATTTCAGAAATAAATGATCTCTGAGGTCCTCTTGTGAGTAGAGTGCGTGTGCTTTTTGAGGTCTCTTTGGTCTAGAACCCTGTCCTGCTCAGAGTTCTTTGTTGGGTTACCAGATCTTATCTGTATCATCTAATCTCCAAGGCAGGACCTTTGGGCTGTAGCATAGGGAAGTCTTAAACTCCTATTAGTAATCCATTACATGATGTTTTTTATTACATTTAACACTGATGGTCTGTCTGCAGAAAGCACAGCTTGCTCCCTTCTTTGATGTAACACAGCTATGATAGGGAGAGGGCTAGTTATATGTATTGAATGTTGAATTCTTCAGTGAATTTCAAAGCAATATGTAATACGGAAGAGATAGATGTGTCTGCAGAATTAAATAATGACAAAAGTTTCTAATAGTAAGAGGTGTTTCTATCCTCTAATAGTAAGAGGTGACTGATAAATAATAAGTGACTGACTACAAGGTCTCACATACTAGGTGTTACTGACACTTTTGAAGTATCCTTTTTCATTAGTGTTTGTCATGGTTTCTTTTGAAATCAAGTTGAACATAATAATGGTTTCTATTTCTTCACTTCAGTAAAGAGAATTAGTTACATGGGTAGCAAGAATCAGCTCAGTAGATACACTCCATGCTTGGATTTACGTCCTCCCACTCTTGATTACCTACAGGTGGAAAGAATATAGTGGGGGCTTACAATTCTCCACCTACTTTCTGCATAGGCAGTGTAAGCAGAGGCTGCGGCTCTTAAGAAAGTATACTCTGAGATAGCCAAGGTAAATGTGCTACTTCTCACCAAGTTTGTGCATTTCTTCGTAGAGAGTAAGTGGTGGATTTCAAAAGTAACTTCTTGCTTGACAGGATTATATCATGGCCTGTTGGTTCCCTTTAAAAGAACAATATTAAATTAGTCTGAGGGGATATTTCTGGCAAGATAGTTATTTCTTCTATTAGAAAAATTATGCTTTTTTTTTTGAGATGGAGCCTCCCGGGTTCAAGCGATTCTCCTGTCTCAGCCTCCTGAGTAGTCTCAGCCACAGGCGCACACCACCACGCCCAGCTGATTTTTTTGTACTTTTAGTAGAAACGGGGTTTCACCATGTTGGCCAGGATGGTCTCAATCTCTTGACCTCATGATCTGCCCACCTTGACCTCCCAAAGTGCTGGGATTACAGGCGTGAGCCCCCATGCCCAGCAAATTATGCTTTTTAAGTAAATTTTTAATTGAAATATTATTCAGGGTTAAAGATTGATTTCTGTCAATTTCAGGCCACGTGCACCAGCTCTTTTTACAAACAGCCTCTTCTCCCTCAACTGGTAGGAGAACAAAACAGTGGCATTAGAGTCTAAATGAAGTTACTTTGGGCCCCTAGAAAAAGTAAGGCTGATCTAAAAGTTTGTCACAGTAATGTCATGATGATTTTTGGAGAAAACATTTCGGGGTAGAATGATCTTTGAACCTCTGTTGGAGAAAGAAACTTAACAGGCAAACTGAAATAGAAAATATGAGTACAAATCTTAGAGAGTATGGAGTGAGTGGGTTAGAGTTCTCTCATTTGTTTCAAATTATTAATCAGCAGTGGTTTCAGTGTTGAAACCATTTATGAGTAGAAATCTTAGAGGGTATGGAGTGAGTTGGTTAGAGTTCTCTCATTTGTTTCAAATTATTAATCAGCAGTGGTTTCAGTGTTGAAACCATTGAACAGACAAAAATAAAATTCAGAGAAAACCACTCTTTGAATCTCACATGTTTGTATCTTTCTTTTGCAGAAGAAACCCAAACTGCTCAATCTAAAGGATTCTTCTATGGCAGATGCCAGCAAACATGGTGGTGGAACAGAATCGTTATTTTTCGATAAGGTGAGTAATGGATGAGTTAGATTTGATAGTGCCTGTTAATGCCAAAAGAAAATCATCTTATCCCCCAAAAGGTTTTGTTTTAAAGGTGTCAAACTAATTAGGGCTTTCTGTTTTTTAACATAGTTTCCCAGTTGTGAGTCCTTTGAGTTTGCTAGTACTATTAGCATAGCTAGAAAAATGGTAGCATTGTTTGCTTTGGTTTTATGAAGCAGTTTGGGGCAGAAGACAGATTTTTAGAAAATGTATTATGTTTCTCTTGAAAGATGTTTGGGGCTCGCTGTTGTAGATATCCGGGTCTGTGTGGCAGGTAGTACCAGTGCCTGTACCAATTTTTGAGGATTTAAGATGACTTGTAATCTTATTGCTGTAATAGTTATTTGTAGCATGCATATATATAGCATTCAGGGGAATTGTGATTTACTTGCATGTTTTCAAAGCTACCCAGGTGATTCTAATGAGCAACCAGAGTTGAGATTATTGGCATAAATGATGTTGTGTAGTGCCTTAGTTTGGCCACATAAACTTAGGTGTGATTTGCTCCTTGGAGTCAACTTGATGGACTTCAAGGAACTGTTGGACTTCAAGGAACTGTTGGACTTCTCACTGGTAGAAATCAACCTGGATTGATCTGTGGTGATTGACTCTATTTTGTGCCTCTTGGGTTTTGCAGAAGGGCAGATGATTTAACATCTCCTTGATTGGTATCTCCTGATCTCTTTCTGTCTGCCGTGCCTGTGTGAGCTTTTTGCAGGAGAATCCTGCAAGAGTGTTGAGTTCTTAGCTCTGATGTGAACCATTACCAAAGTCTGCTTGGGCGGTTGGTGCTTTTAGACAAGTGTAGAAGTCTAGATCACAACCAATGAATGTCAAGAAAAGGGTGGGGAAGGGGAGCTGTTGTAAATTAAGAATTAAGAAATATATAAGCCAAATGTGACATGCAGACTTTGGATTCTGCATTTAAACGTCAGTTTATTTTTATTTTTATTTTTGAGACAGATGTTGCCCACCTTGGAGTGCAATGGTGCAATCTTGGCTCACCGCCTCCCCGGCTCAAGCGATTCTCCAGCGTCAGCCTCACAAACAGCTGGGACTACAGGCGCCTGCCACTGTGCCCAGCTGATTTTTGTGTTTTTAGTAGAGACAGGGTTTCACCACGTTGGCCAGACTAGTCTTGAACTCCTGACCTCAAGTGATCCACCTACCTCAGCCTCCCAAAGCACTGGGATTACAGGTGTGAGCCACCACACCTGGCCAATAGTCAATTTTTAAGATATTAATTAATTGAACTTAGTACAGACTCAATATTAGATGCTATTAAGGAATCTTTTTTACATTTTTGGGTTTTTTTTATAGACGGAGTCTCGCTGTTATTGCTCAGGCTGGAGTAAAGTGGTGTGATCTTAGCTCACTGCAACCTCCACCTCCTGGGTTCAAGCGATTCTCCTGCTTCAGCCTCCCAAGTAGCTAGCATTACAGGCGCCTGCCACAACGCCTGGCTAATGTTTATATTTTTGGTAGAGATGGGGTTTCACTGTGTTGGCCAGGGTGGTCTTGAACTCCTGACCTCAGGTGATCCGCCCACCTTCACCTCCCAAAGTGCTGGGATTACAGGTGTGAGCCACTACACCTGGCCTTTTTAATTTAAGAGATGGTCTCGCTCTGTCACCCAGGCTGGAACTCAGTGGTGCTTTCATAGCTTACTACAGCCTGGAACTCCTGGGCTCAAGTGATCCTTCTCACCCTCCTGAGTAGCTGGGACTTACAGGTACACACCACCACACTCAGCTAATGTTTAAAATTTTTTTGGAGAGGGGGGGTCTCACTGTTTTGCCCTGGCTGATCTCAAACACCTGGGCTCAGGCAGTCCTCCTCCTTTAGCCTCAGCATTGGCCTCCCAAAGTGTTGAGATTACAGGCGTGAGCCACCATGCCTTGCCTTAAGGAATCTTCTGAAAATAAGTTAATTTCTAAGAGTAATGGTTTTTTTTGAGACAGTCTCACTCCATTGCTGAGGCTGGAGTACAATGGCGCCATCTTGACTCACCACAACCTCCACCCCCCAGGTTCACGCAATCCTCCTTCCTCAGCCTTCCGAGTAGCTGGGATTATAGGTGCCCACCACCACACCCAGCTAATTTTTGTATGTTTAGTAGAGACAGGGTTTCACTCTGTTGGCCAGGCCATCTGGAACTCCTGACCTTAGGTGATCTGCCTGCCTTGGCCTCCCAAAGTGTTAGTTTTACAGGTGTGAGTCACTGCGCCCAGTCCTTTAATAGCATTTTCTTAGTACTTTTTCTTAAACATATATACTATATCTAGATGAAATGTCTGGAATTTGGTTTAAAATGCAGTGGTAGGAGAAATGAGTATAGATGAAACAAAATATACTATAGATCATTGAGGTTAGGGTTGAGTACATAGGTTTGTTATATTTCTGTCTACTTTTGTGTATGTTTAAAAGCTAATAAAAAGTAAAGGTAAATAGGGTATACAGTATAACAGGTACAGTGCTCTTTTATCTTTAGCTTTAAAAGTCTAGATTCCATATAGTGTCTACTGATGAATAGTTAACGAAAAGCATACGGAAGTCTGGAGCAGGGGTTGCTGGTAAGCCACTTGGTTTGGTGGCAGTCTGTGGTCTTCACCAAAGGATCACAGTGCTAAATATTTACTTTGGAACTGAAGCCCCAGATTGGTAATCTGGCTAGGCTAGTTTTGCTTTGTCTATGCCATTGATCATTTTTGGGTTTTTGGTATTAAGATGCTCAATACTGTAAATAGAGGAAGAAAAAAGACCAGATCAGAGGATAGAAGTATCTTAAGAGAGCATTATTCCAGATTACCAGAGTTTAAAACAATCTTGGCAAAGATTCTTGCCATAAACATGTGTTAAGAGAGGCAACAGGCTGGGCACAGTGGCTCACGCCTGTAATCCCAGCATTTCGGGAGGCCAAGGTGGGTGGATCACCTGAGGTCAGGAGTTTAAGGCCAACATGGTGAAACTGCCTCTCTACTAAAAATACAAAAAAAAAAAATTAGCTGGGCATTGTGGCAGACGCCTATAATCCCAGCTACTCGGGAGGCTGAGGCAGGAGAATTGCTTGAACCTGGGAGGCGGAGGTTGCAGTGAGCCGAGATCACGCCATTGCACACCAGCCCAGGCAACAATAGTGAAACTCTGTCTCAAAAAAAAAAAAAAAAAGAGGCAACAAAAGCCGGGGTAATTCTGATATGGTCTGGAGAATCAAGCATATGAGAAGGTATACTCCGAGATCTCATTTTTTAAATTGTTACTACGGTAATTTTTTTTTTCTTTTTTTTTTTTTTAAGACGGAGTTTCACTCTTATTGCCTGGGCTGGAGTGCAGTGGCGCAATCTCGGCTCACTGCAACCTCTGCCTCCTGGGTTCAAGCGATTCTCCTGCCTCGGCCTCCCGAGTCGCTGGGACTATAGGCGCCCGCCACCACGCCAAGCTAATTTTTTTTTTTTTTTTTTTTAGTAGAATGGCGTTTCATTATGTTGGCCAGGCTGGTCTCGAACTCCTGACCTCAGGTGATCCACCCTCCTCAGCCTCCCGAAGTGCTGGGATTATAGGCGTGAGCCACCGTGCCCAGCTGGAAAATTTTGAACATGCGTAAAGAGAATAGTAAAATGATTCCTCACGTACCTACCATCCAGCTTTTACAGTTCCCAATCCTAGCCGGTGTGTTTGTTTCATATATATTCCCACCCATCCCAGTTTATTTGGAGACAAATTGCAGATATATTATTTCATCCATACATATTTTAGTAAGTTTCTTTTAAAAATGACTCCTTTTTGTGGCCAGGTACGATGGCTCATGCCTATAATCCCAGCACTTTGGGAGGTGAAGACGGGTGGATCACTTACGGTCAGGAGTTTGAGACTACCCTGGCCAATATGGTGAAACCTCGTCTCTACTAAAAATACAAAAATTAGCTGGGTGTAGCAGCACATGCCTGTAATCAATCCCAGCTACTTAGGAGGCTGAGGCAGGAGAATTGGTTGAACCCAGGAGGCAGAGGTTGCAGTGAGCTGAGATCGCACCACTGCACTTCAGCCTGAGCAACAGAGCTGGACTGCGTTTGAAAAACAAAACAAAACCAAAAAAAAACCTCCTTTTTGCAAACATAATCATCGTCACATCTAAAAAAACTAACATTGATTACTTAGCATCATAAAATATCAGTTCAAATTTCCCATTTTTATTTTATTTTTTTACTTATGAGACAGCGTCTTGCTCTGTCACCCACGCTGGAGTACGGTGGCATTATCCCAGCTCACTGCAACCTCTGCCTCCCGGGTTCAAGTGATTCTCATGTTTCACTCATCCACCCGAGTACCTGGAATTAGAGGCATGTGCCATCATGCCTGGCTAATTTTTGTATTTTTAGTAGAGACAGGGTTTCAGCATGTTGTCCAGTCTATTCTCGAAGTCCTGGCCTCCAGTGATCCACCCACCTTGGCCTCCCAAAGTGCTGGGATTATAGGCATGAGCCACCACGCGCAGCCACAGATTTCCCCAATTTTTAAAAACTAATGACAGGACAGCCTGGGCCATATATGACCTCATCTCTACAAAAAATTTAGAAATTAGCCAGGCATGGTGGCTCACACCTGTAGTCCCAGTTCTTTGGGAGGTTGAGGGTGGGAGGCTGCAGTGAGCTGAGATTACACCACTGCACTCCATCCTAGGTGACAGAGCAAGGCCCTTTTCAATTCCCCACTTTAAGAAAAACAAAAACTGTTTTTCTTCCTGTTGTCTCCATAAGGTCCGAAAGGCTCTTCGGAGTGCAGAAGCCTATGAAAATTTCCTGCGCTGTCTTGTTATTTTTAACCAGGAGGTGATCTCTCGTGCTGAGCTTGTGCAACTAGTTTCTCCTTTCCTGGGGTAAGTGAAGTGAGGGACTCAGCCCTGATTCATGATATGGAGGCCAGGTAATATTTGATTTGTGACAGTATGTGATAGGCAAAGTTAATTTACTTGAGATAGGTCAGTTGACTCAAATGTTAGTGCCAAAAGAGTCCTAAGAAGTCTTCTAGTCCAACTCTAGAGATGAGAAAATAGTGAGGGCATTAAGTATTTATTGACTAATGGCCAAGACTAGTGGTTTCCTGATCTTTTGACCAGTGCTGGATGTTTATCAAGAAAAATCTCTCCCAGAGTTCTGGAATTTTTTTAAAAAATTATTATCATTATTATTATTATTATTATTTCTTTTTTTTTTCTTTGAGACGAAGTCTTACTCTTGTTCCCCAGGCTAGAGTGTGATGGCGCAATCTTGGCTCACTGCAACCTCTGCCTCCTGGGTTCAAGCGATTCTCCTACTTCGACCTACTGTCACCACACACCCAGCTAATTTTTGTACTTTTTTTAGTAGAGATGGGGGTTTTACCATGTTGGCCAGGCTGGTCTAGAACTCCTGACCTCAGGTAATCCACCTGCCTCGGCCTCCCAAAGTGCCGGGATTACAGGCGTGAGCCACCACGCCGAGCCTGGAATCTTTACTATATTTGACAGCCTAAGAATTATGTGAACATTAAAGCAATATTCTTTTTCTTTTCTTTTTTTTTTTTTTTTTGAGATGGAGTCTCACTCTGTCACCCAGGCTGGAGAGCAGTGGCGCAGTCTCGGCTCACTGCAAGCTCCGCCTCTCAGGTTCACACCATTCTCCTACCTCCACCTCCCGAGTAGCTGGGACTACAGGCGACCGCCACCACACCTGGCTAATTTTTTTGTATTTTTATTAGAGACGGGGTTTCACCATGTTTGCCAGGATGATCTTGATCTCCTGACCTCGTGATCCGCCCGCCTCAGCCTCCCAAAGTGCTGGGATTATAGACGTGAGCCACTGCGCCCGGCCTAAAGCAATATTCTTGATCAAAAGAATGGTTTGTTATTTTGCCTGGTTTCGGTACAACTCTTTTATCACCACTTTAACTGATCTGAGAGTATTTTATTAGAAAAAGGGGAAACCAAATGCTCAGAAGCAGTTCTTCTTAGGCAGGAAATAATTTGTTCCTGGTAGCAGATTTCTGATCCAAAACCAGGTGGTAGTAGTCATACCTCAGAATAACTGCATCATGCCCCTAATTGCTTGTCACTTTTTGGTTTGATTCTTCAGGAAATTCCCTGAGTTGTTTAATTGGTTTAAAAACTTTCTGGGCTATAAGGAGTCTGTACATCTGGAAACTTATCCAAAGGAACGAGCTACAGAGGGCATTGCTATGGAGATAGATTATGCTTCTTGTAAACGATTGGGCTCCAGCTATCGAGCCTTACCAAAGAGTTACCAGCAGCCCAAGTGTACAGGAAGGACTCCTCTCTGTAAAGAGGTAAGGCCTTCCTTCCCTAACAAGGATCAGCCCTGGGTCCTCAGCTTTTTCCAGAAGGGAGTAGTGGTACCAAGGATTGAGAATTTATATGAATGATGAAATTAAGAATGCTTTTAGTCCTTTTTTTAAAAAAAATGTTTTCTACTTTTTTGTTTGTTTTTGAGACAGGATTTTGTTTTGTCACCCAGGCTGGAGTGCTCAAAGCACCTCAACCTACTGGGCTCAAATGATCCTCCCAAGTACCTGGGACTTACACATGCCTTCACACCCAGCTAAAAATGTAAAAATAGAAGTTTTTAGTTTTGTAAAGATGGGGTCACTCCTTCTGCGCTCAAGTGATCTTCCGCTTCATCCTCCCAAAGCACTGGAATTATATTTCCACTTATATTCAGAACGCTTTTCTTACTAATACCTTTTTGTAAACTTGCTAAAGGTGAAATTTGTGAAGTAATGTTAGTTGCCTATTTCTCTGCTAGAGTTTTGTCTTTTTATTGAGAATGCTTAATCACCAGAAAGCTGTTTTAGGCTTTTGTTTCAGTCTCTCTTCTTCTACCCAAAGGTTTTAAATGATACCTGGGTTTCCTTCCCTTCGTGGTCTGAGGACTCCACCTTTGTGAGTTCCAAGAAGACTCAATATGAAGAACATATTTATCGTTGTGAAGATGAGCGCTTTGAGGTACAAGCTTCTTTGGCATTTGAAGTTGGGGGATATGGGAGATGCTCAGTGAAAGACTATCTTAATACCTATCTCTGAGGGGTATTAAGATGGAAGAGCCAGAGGCTCACATTCTTCTGTGGTAAATGCTTGTTGTGGTACTTTCCATGCTTTGTGCATTGGTCAAATATATTAGTACATGTTTTATGGCAAATGTGACTTATCTAGGCCACTTTAGCTAGCCCTTTTAACTGAAATTGTCCATTGATGACTGAATAATAGTTCTTTTGATTTTGCATGGCATTTTAAGATTATTGTGTTTTACATGGTGAAGAAAATCAGCATCCTAAGGTTTATAGTACTTTCTTGAAACTGTTTTTAAATTATTTAAGATCTGTATGTATCATTACCCTTAGCAAGTATCTTGCCATGGTTAGTAAACCAGCTCTGTTATGAGAACTGGAATTTTTCTTTCATGTTTCTGGTATTGATTGTTTTGTTTTGTTTTGTTTTGTTTTTTTGAGACAGGGTCTCATTCTGTTGCCCAAGCTGCAGTGCAGTGGCACAATCACAGTTCATTGCAGCCTCAACCTTCCAGGCTCAAGTATGACCCTCCCACTCAGACCCCCACCCCTACCCACCACCAAGTCACTGGGACTACAGGCATGTGCTACCATGCCTGGCTAATTTTTTTTTTTTTTTTAACTTTAAATTCTGGGATACATGTGCAGAACGTACAGGTTTATTACATAAATATACATGTGCCATGGGGGTTGCTGCGCCTATCAACTCGTCATTTAGGTTTTAAGCCCCACATGCATTATGTATTTGTCCTAATGCTCTCCCTCCCCTTGCCTCCCACCCCCTGCGGCCAATTTTTTGTTTTTTTATAGAGACAGTGTTTACTACATTACCCAGGCTGATCTCAAACTCTTGGGCCCAAGTGATCATCCCACCCTGGCCTCCCAAAGTGCTGGGATTACAGACATGAGCCACCATACCTGGCCTGATTGGCTCCTTTTGAAAGAAGGTTAAATTAGGGCCTTTTTTTTTTTTTTTTTAAAGCAGAGTATTGCCTGTCACCCGGGCTGGGAGTGCATGGTGTGTCCGCCCGCACCCGCCCCTCACGAGTTTACGCCTTATCTCGCCCTCAGCCTCCCAAGTAGCTGAACTACAGGTGCATGACACAATACCGCGCAAATTTTTTTGTATGTTAGTGGAGACGGTTCACATGTTGGACCGCGCCTTGAACGCCCGACCCTCAGTGACCACCTGCCTTGGCCTCCCAAAGTGGCGGATTACAACGTGAGCCACTGGCGCCTGTCCCAAGGAACTTTATTTTGAAGTAGTAGGAAGAAGAAGTGGAGTGATAATGAGGTGGTAGACGGGCCCCATACACACACTAGTAAATCAGCGAGGGGGACTACGAAAGTGGGGCTCAAATCCCCCAATTGTTTATATGTCTGGTTTTAATTATCATTTTAAAAAGGAAGTCTGTGTTTGTCTAAGAGGAAAATGACAGTAACCTTTAGTGTATCTATACAATAAATTGACGTGCTGTGCCGTATTTTGTATGGATAGGTACTTTGTTTTTGTTTTTGTTTGTTGTTTTTTAAAGTACTCCCTTTAAGCTCTTTGCCACTTCCAGCTCACACTTTGCCTTCAGCTGTTTCTGGTGTTGTATATTAAGAGCCACATGCCTGTCGGCCACATGGCCAGGTGGTTGGCCATCTGCCCCAGCATTTATAAGTATTGCACCGATTTGGCAAAACTAAATCATGCAGATTATACGTTCCATAGGAGTGCTATCAAGCTAAAAGAAGACATTTCACCGGGCCGCCGTGCTCACGCTTGTAACCCAGCACTTTGGGAGGCCAAGGGCGGGCGGATCCACGAGTCAGGAGATGGAGACCACGGTGAAACCCCGTCTCTACTAAAAATACAAAAATTAGCCGGGCCGCGGGGCGGCGCCTATAGTCCCCGCCAGCTACCTCAGGAGGCTGGGCAGGAAGAAGATGTGGAACCGGGAGGCGGAGCCTACAGTAAGCCAGATTTGTGCCCACTGCCACTCCCAGCCCTGACTACAGAGCGAGATCTGCTCAAAAAAAAAAAAGCTTTGCATTTCTTGTTTACTTATGTTTAGTAAGGTTAGCTGATGAGTTAGCAAGCTTGGCATGCTGTTTTTGACAGAATGTTCCGTATCCTCCTCTCACGGTATGCTTAACAATGAGAGGCAACTCAATTTCC